AGCCCCTTGATTTTCTTATTCCCTAAATTTTACTTGCTTCTTTTACGAGACAATAGGTATAATTTTTCCCTGTAAGAAAAGCATAGTTTCTGGGTACTGGCAACAGGCTCACGCCTGTAATCCTAGCTGAGTAGGAGGTTGAGATTTGAGAATCTTGGTTCGAAGCTAGCTTAAGTAGCAAAGTCTGTGAGATTCTTAATAAACTACTCAGAAAAAGCCAGAAGCGGTGCTTTGGCTGAGTGGTACAGTGCTAGTCTTGAGCAAAAGAAGCTCAAGGACAGTGCCCAGGCTCTATGTTCAAGCCTCAAGACAGGAAGAAAGGAAGAAAGAAAGAAAGAAAGGAAGGAAGGAAGGAAGGAAGGAAGAAAGAAAGGGAGAAAGAAAGACAGTTGTCTAGAGCTATCTTGACCAACTTTCATAATTATATTACCTATGAGAATGCTCCCCCTGAATTGACTTGTAAAAGGTGGTCTAGAACACATTCTACCACTGAGCCTCAGAATCTCTCAATCTCTTTGCCCAAAAGAATGAGCTCTGTGCTTTAGTACACTTTCTTCCCCAGCTGTCAGATCCTAGATTCATTATGATATTCCAAATTCACAGCAAATATTCGTGCTCTAAAACATTATTTAAGAATGGAGCTGGGTGCCAGTGGCTCATGCCTGTAATCCTAGCTACTCAGGAGGCTGAGATCTGAAGACTGCAGTTCAAAGCCAGCCCAGGCAGGAAAGTCCATGAGCCTCTTATCTCCAATAAACCACCAGCAAATCAGAAGTAGCACTTGGATCAAGTGGTACAGTATTCTTGAGCTCAAATGCTCAGGGATAGTGCCCAAGGCCCAGAGTTCAAGCCCCATGACAGACAAAAAAAAAAAAAAAGGATGGGTATACTTAGAGACAATTATTGAGTCTCTAACTTCCCAAGCATGACCTATCCATAAAGCTGTCCATAGTAACTTGAAGCCTAGAGATGCCTGTCTGCCTGGCTTTTTTATTTCTTCCTTCCTTCTTTCCTTCCTTTCCTTCTTCCTCTTCCTCTGGCTTCCTTCCCCCGCCCCCCTCTTTGTACTTGATCAAATTCAGGATCTTATATATACTAGGTGAGTACTTTGCCACCGAGGTACATCTTCAGCCCCCTCCCCTTTTTTGAGATACAGTCTATGTAGCCTAGGCTACATAGACTTGATCCTCCTGCTTCAGCTTCCTGATTGCTGGGAGTCCAGTCATGTGATGCCAAGCCTGACATGAAAATGATCTATTCTCTGCTTTTATTTCATTCAGGTCGTTCTTCCATTATTTTAAAGTACATATGTTCTACTCTTGTTTAATACATTCTTCTCATTATTATCTCTGTCAGGGTCAGCAATGAACTTCACACTGATAAATCTAGTGTTCCTTTCCAGCCCTGGTGTTTTTTAGATCAGTTGGCTGCACTGGTTCTGTAAGTTACTCTCTCCTTCTCTAAGCTCTTTATGTGGATTCCATGTCACCACACTCTTCTGGTTTATACGCGCACACCCATCACTGCCACTGCTGGGGCTTGAACTAGTGTCTGGGTGCTTTTCCTTAGCTTTTTGTTTCAAGGCTTGTGTTCTTCCACTTGAGCTATCACTATACTTCTGGCTTTGTGTGTGTGTGTCACACGTGCTTTGGTCCTGGGACTTGAACTCATTGCTTGGGCACTGTCCCTAAGCTGTTTTTCTCAAGACTAGCTCTCTACCACTTAAGCCACAGCTCCATTTCTGGCTTTTTTTTTTTTTTGAGTAGTTAATTGGAGACTGGAGTCTTATCAATTTTCCTGCCTGGGCTGCTTTCAAGCCATGATCCATAGATCTCAACCTCCTGAGTAGCTAGGATTACAGGTTTGAGTCACTGGTGCCCAGCTTACTTCTGGCTTTTTGGTGATTAAATGGAGATGAGTCCCATAGACTTTCTTGCTCAAGCTGACTTTGAACTGTGATCCTTAGATTTCAGCCTTCTGAGTAGCTAGGATTATATATATGAATCATCAGTGCCTGGTTTTACCCAGCCTTTCTGTTTCTACTTTTGCTTCTATAGTTCATTAACAAAGAAGTCAAAGTAATAGGTTAAAAATGGAAGTCAAGTGTCACACCTCTATCTAAAAACCCTTCAATGGCTCCTTATTTTACAGGGCAAAATCCATAGTTCCTGAATGGCTCTACTTAATCTAGTTTGTTTCTTTTCCTTATGCTACCCTATACTCCCTTTCCTACCATTTTTCCTTTGTTCACTCTGGCCTAGTCACAAATGTTTCCTGGTGAACAATAACAATGTCTTCTTACCATTCTCATCCCAGAATTTTTTTCAGTTAAATGTCTCTTCCTGGAAATGCTTGTCTAGATAGATGTCTGTAGACTTGATGCCTTCTCTGTTTTTAGGATTGCAGTCCCACTCTCTCTGCTTCACCCCTTCCCAGCTTTATTTTTATCCATTGCACTCTTTACCTTTATCTTTACATTTCAAAATTTAACTTATTTCTTGGTTTTTTTTTGGGGGGGGTCCGTCATGGGGCCTGAACTCTGGGCCTGGGCACTGTCCTTCAGAGGCTCTTCAGCTCAAGGCTAGTGATCTACCACTTGAGCCACAGCACCACGTCCGGCTTTTTTCTTTTTGCTTATGTGGTGCTGAGGAATCAAACCCAGGGCCTCAGGCATGCAAGGCAAGCGCTCTACCACTGAGCCACCTTCTCAGCCCCTAACTTATTTCCTGATTCTCCTCTTTTTTCTACATTTTGTTTTGGAGATCGGGGTCTTTGCTCAGGGGCAGGCCCTGAAGTATAGAAGCTCCTGCCTCTGCCTCCCAAGTAGTTGGGATTAAAGAACATCACACCTGGTTTGTATTGACTTTCAAAAAGAAGGGGGAGGGCTGGGAATGTAGCTTAATGGTGGAGTGCTTGCCTAGCATGCACAGAGCCTGGGTTTAAGTCCTCAGTACCACAACACAGAAAAAGCAGGAAGTGATGCTGTGTCTCAAGTGGTAGAGTGCTAATCTTAAGCAAAAGAAGCTCAGGGACAGTGCCCAGGACTGACAATAAAAAAAGGAAAGAGAGAGAAGAAAAAAAAGATCCTTCAGTGTATAGAGAAGTAACATTCAAGAATAAGTTATTATACAGTATGTTCACAAATAAAAAATAAATTAATTAATTAAAAAAAGAATAAGTTATTAGAAAGTCTAGGCAGTTAGGAGAAACATGGTGAACTCAGAGACCTACAAAGATTTTTAATAAAGATACACTCAACCACTAGGATATCCCTTTGTAACAGGTATACTAAATATGAAAGTTGGAGATAGAGATGACTAGAACAAAGTATATCTACATTGTTAGCAAAGACTATCAAAATCACCCATGACTTTATGATAGATAAGATAGTGAAATAATAGTTACACCATTGTAGGGTTCTATTTTTTTCTCAATTCTTATTGGGGGGAAACCCAACAAAACCTTTCCAAATAATTAGAGGTTTGTCTGGGAAGGTGGCTCAGTGGTAAAGCGCTTGCCTTGCATGCATGAGGCCCTGGGTTTGATTTCTCAGCACCACATAAGCAGAAAAAATGAGCCGGAAGTGGCGCTGTGGCTTAAGTGGTAGAGTGCTAGCCTTGAGCTGAAGAGCTGAGGGACAGCGCCCAGGCCCAGAGTTCAGGCCCCACAACTGGACCCCCCCAAAAAAAAAATAAAAAAAATAATCAGAGGTTTGGGATAAATCTAGAGGCAATTTTTGCAATGAAAGATTTTTTTTTTTGCTTTACGTATTTTAGCAATGATTTAAAAAAAAAAAACACAATTATTAGATGAAGCCAGAAGGCATAGCTATCAGTCTGTCCACCAGAGAGGCTGGGAGGGATGACAGATGAAAAATCATGTCAGGACTCAAGATTATCTCAGAAGATCATCCTATCTTTTTACTGGTTTTTTAATGATATATCCAAAGGGATTTAACAGGGTAAACTCAATGTATATTTAGGCTCCAAAAGACTTCCTTTTCAATATTAAGGATAAAGGAAGAACTGAGTTGGATTTAGGTGATGGCAAGTTCAACAGAGCAGCTTAATGCTCCATTAACAAAAAAGCCATCCTACTGGAGACATGCTTTAATCAAAGATGAACATTTCTGCCCTGCCTGGCTGAGACCACATCTGAAACAGTATGTGCTGTGGACTCATCTAGATGTCAAGAGGCCTTTCAACACGACTGACCTAAGGCACAGCTGAATCAAATGAGCATTTTTGTCCTGAAAGATGGAAGATTATAGAGAGACTGGTGGAACACTTTCCAAATACTGGCATGGCTCCCCAGGGCTGTCTCTCAAAATGACAAAATTAGATGTTCCAGGGAAGGAGGAGGCTGAAAGCCCAAAGCCACTCACTCACCCGGGTGATTTGTTACCCTGGAAGCCAGCGCATACACCAGACTCTAGGGCAGGTGGAGGGGGTTACGCCCCTGGGAGAACCCCCTGCACCCCACCTCACCCCCACTCTGAGTCCCAGGGGTCGGTGCTCCCAGACTCCCTGCAGTGGGCAAACTGCCAGTGGTGCGCGGTTTCTCTGGGGCTCAGGAGTTTCCCCGGGATGCATCTGGTGGTGGGGACATGCTAGTCAACCATGATCCCTTAGATCCGGGCAGCCAGGCCCTGAGCTGGACCCGCCCGGGCGCCACCTCGCCCCAGGGAGGCGGGGCCGGGCTGACCTCAAACTCGAGAGAGGGGTGGGGAGGAAGAGGGGGCTCCCCAAGGCCCGCTGCGCCCTCACTGACCTCAACCTTGCGAAGGGGAGGGGGCTCTTGCTTGCCGGGCCCAAAATCTGTCTGCTGGCCGCACAGAAGCAAGACCATTGACCCTCCTGCCCCCCACGATCGCGAACTCACTGTGTCCACTGCAGGTCTTCCCGGCCCCGCGGATTTCCCCGTGCTGCCCAGTGTCACGACAGCGTCCTTGTTATTCCCTGTTCCAGCCTCCTCCCCCCTCCCCCCGCCCCACCCCTCACCTGTAGAAGGCCGTGTTGACCCTCTTCTCACCGGGGAAGCCCAGCATCCCGCAGACCACGTGGCTGTTGTGGGCGCTCCAGCCTTTGTCACACACTTGAGACCAGCCATCAGGAAGCTTGATTTCAACCAGCCCCTCAGTCACGGGCAGGGGGCGCCTGCCCCACCCAACAGCCGGGCGAAGTCGGACCTCCTCCACTTGCAGGTGATGCTCTACCTGGGCATGGGACCACAAGCCGGGAAAGGAATCTCAGTAGGACTTCTCACATGTCCTGCCATCCTTCGGGAGCCATGATTGAGGTCATGGTCAAGGGTGCCTAAGGGCTTTGAGGGAGACCTGACCCTGCCTGGAATAGGGGGGAACTCCACAAGGAAGTGGCTCTGGAAGAGGAGAAAGTAAGAAGGGAATGTTCCGGAATAGGTGAAGAGAAGGAGAACATAGACCAGGGCTGAGGGTGGAGAGGCTCAGACCAGGCTTTATCACTTAAGTGCTAATGCTAAAACAACAACAATAACAAACAAAACCCACTTGGATTCTGCAGTACCTCTATAGCTCTATTCTATGCTCTCCCTCTTTCAATCCAAACTATCCTACTGGGGACTATGGGAGCCTCTTCCTTCTGATATCTCCTGTAACTATATATAGTCACATTGCCACACCATAGCCTTCTCTGGCCCTGTGTGTGTGTGTGTGTGTGTGTGTGTATACACTTCAGACCTCGATAACATTGGAGTCTGAGAAGCCAGGGAGGCGCTGGTCCTTGCAGATGACCCCTGCGTCCTCATCATGGGTACAATCACTGTTGCCCCAGCCCCGAGAGGTGCATTCTGCCACACTCTGTTCAGTCCCACTGCAGCTCAGGTTGTCCAGCCAGATTCGGCCTGTGGAGGGAAGGTGAAAAGATGGAGACATTTGGGAAGTAAGGATGGTAAGGATGGGGTGATGGGATGCTGGAGAAAGGAAACATGATAGCTTTATACCTCACTGTGAGAATGATCCTGATTTTTTTTCTGTTGAGAAAAGGGGGAAGATACAGGATAGTACCCACCTGAGTGAAAGAGGAAAGGAGGCATAACATTTATGTATGATTGGAGCTAATCTGGGGATGCTCAAGAATTTATTAGGATTAATACAAAGCCAAGAATCAACAATGAAGTTCTGATCAGTCCTGATCCATCAATAGTTACATGAATGCTTCTTAATAGTGTAGCTTATCGGTCAAACTGATCCTTTGACCTCAGCTTCACATTCTCCCACACAGGACATTCTTTTTTTTTTTTTTGCCGGTCATGGGGCCTGAACTCTGGGCCTGGGCACTGCCCCTCAGCTCTTCAGCTCAAGGCTAGTGCTCTACCACTGGAGCTACAGCGCCACTTCTGGCTTTTTCTGCTTATGTGGTGCTGAGGAATCCAACCCAGGGCCTCAGGCATGCGAGGCAAGCGCTCTACCACTGAGCCACCTTCCCAGCCCAGGACATTCTTACCCTGCTTGTGCTGCCATGTAGTCCCTTGTTTTCTCTGTGTGGACCACATGCATATTCCTGACTTCTCAGATGAGTGCTGCCTCAAAGGTAACTGCCACAGCAAATGTGCAGAGACCTCTTATTCATATTTTAACAGGACTTACACTCCTGCCCGGCAGACCCAACAGCCATCAGAAAATCCTCATTCATCTTTATGACTTTCTCCAAGTCTGATTCAGCCCTTTGATGCCATCCAGAAAATAATCCTAGGCCGTATGAATGTCCTTCCCATATTTGAAGACGACCATTATGTAAATGTTACCCAAGGCTTTTTTTTTTTTTGGCAATACTAGGTTTTAAACTGGGGGTGGAGGGTGGGGGCTCATATTACGGGGCGGGCCCTCTACCACCAGGCATTACATACACTCCTGGCCTCTCCAAGGCCTTTTGATTCTACACCAGATTCTTGGTTTCTTCAGCTATTTCTCTTGAAACTTGGCTTTTGGCTCTTTCACATCTGGGCCGCTCTTCCCTGAAAGCATTTCTATTTTCTACAGTTGTTCTCAAAATGTAGCATCTACAAGTAACACTTCATTCCAGAGGTGGCTGTAAATTAGTGGGAATTGGGGGATTAGCTGCAGATTGCATTTATTTTGGTCTTTCAAGCTCACTGCTGGCCCATACAGTGCCAGTGCCTCCAGGCCTTAATGAGAATTGTTCCTAAACAGTACCCTACTCACCCCCACCCTTGTTACAAATGTTTCCCCCTCCCTCTTTCCCTCCCTCCTTCCCTCCCTCCCTCCTTGGTATATAACAATGCTTAAAAGACCCCCCCCCCATTCTTCCTTTGTGTTGATACTAGGGTTTGAACTTAGCACCTTGTGTTCCTGGCTTGGTTGGCTTTTTCACTCAAGGCTGGTACCTACCATTTGAACCATACTTCTATTTTTGGCTTTTTGCTGGTTAATTGGAAGTAAGGTTCTCAGAGTCTTTTCTGCCTGTGCTGGCTTTGAACCTCGATTCTCAGATCTCAACCTTCTGAATAGCTAGGATTATAGGTGTAAGCCACTAGTGCCTGGCTAAGAGATTTCTTTTAATTAGCATACATTAATTGTACAAGATGAGTTTCACTGTGACATTTCCACACATGTATACAATGTATCTCAATGGTTTGCTTGTTAGTTTTAGTTCAGGCTTGTAGCTTGATTTTGTCTGCAGCATTTGTGATCCCTTCTGATTGGGGGACATCCAGACATTTTCCTGCTCTCAGCTTCCCATGAAATCAACAGTACTTTCATCATGCATGGACCACTTGTCTCTAAGCTTCCCTTGTAGAATTCTACTTTTGCAACAGAAAGCAACTCATAGATCATCGATAGCCATTGCGCACAAGGCATACCTGAGGCCCACAGAAAGCTCTCAGTAGCTTACGGCCACAGAGCTCTCCAGGTAACTGTATTAGTTGGTTTACTTGATATGGGTTGTCTTTCTGCACTTTGACCATACTTAGATATTACCCAAGCTATGCCTAGAACATTGCTCACCTGTTCCAGGGCCATATTTGGCACTGTGGGTCCAGCCCGTAGCCTCTGTGAAACCCAGCTCTCGGCAGAGGACATGGGCAGCCTGCAGTGTGAAGTCATCATCGCAGATAGTGCCCCATTCACCAGCTCTCTGTATCTCCACGCGGCCCTCATAGGGCTTCCTGGGGAAGCCAGCCAGCCGGAACCTTAGCCCTTGGCTTCCTGCCTTCTTCTCTGTGACAGTGGAAGGTGATGGAGACCCCAAGCTCAAACTGCACAGCAGGCACGGCAGCAGCCCCCATGGGCTCCACTGCCAGACAGTGATGGGCTGCATGGCAAGGGAGGCCTGGAAGGAAGAGAGGGAAGGAGACAGGAGGGGGAGAGAGGAAAAGAGAGGACAGGGTGGGGGGGGAGGAAGAGCAGGAGAGGGAGGAGGAGGAGGAGAAGGGAGCCTCCAGGTTCAAGAGATAAGGAGAGAGGGACATACACTAAATGAGGGCTGACAGAGTCACAACCTTAGAGACCCAGGTTGGGGGTGCGGGAGGGAGTCTTTCCTTCCCTTCTGTAAATAATGCGACTTCTATAATTAGTTTTTACATTCCACAGTGTCCTTCTCTAGTTCTGTCATCATCATCTACATTTACCCCCATCACCAATCTGAGGGATCTGAGATTAAAATAGCAAAGTTAGAGACTGAGAAGCTGAAATGGTCAAGATAGAGAACCGGCACATAGAAAGGAAGATCCAGACGGACAGGATGTGCCGAAGGAGACTGTGGGAATGGAGGAAAACAGAAAGAAACGTGCTGAAGAAGAAGAAGAAGGTGGTGGAGAGACAACAAGCACTCAGTGTCCCAGAATGAGGGAGAGGCGCAGAAAACACCGGGACAGGAGAGGAAGGGACAAGAGCCCAGGAGCAGCTTCCAGAGCCATGACCAGATGACTCCATTCAGCCACAGAGATGCAGATAAGCTGTACTGCTTGTAGAGAGAGGCAGGAGAAGAGAGCCTACAAGATCCTTAGATCTCAGATCCTTTGAATGAGATTTCTAGCAGATTCCTATATGGGCCCAGTGCACATGGAGAATCCTCAGCACACCTTTCCCAACACATTAGCTCCCTGATGCCCTGAAGGGTCAAGGGGGCCAGGACCATCCGACTCCATTCTCTAGAGCGTTTAGGGTGCGGTTATCCAAGCTTCCTGCCAACACAACTGCCCGCTGTCACCCGGCAACCCAGTGGCCAGAGCTGGTTACAGTTCTCAGCCAAGGCCTTCTCTGTCCAGGGCTGAGAGCAGCCCCTCTACAGCCAGCCCTCCCCCCCCCCCAATACTTCCCCTATCCCAGACAAACGGCTCAAAAGACAGCTTTGTTCTGGGGCACATTTTGCCTCGGGGGCCCAGCAGAGCCCCCCCCCCAGCATTAGGACCCTCCCAGCCGCCCTATATGGAAGCCCCATGCAGCCCCCATTCCAAGTATCTGCTTCTGCCGACCCTCCTGGGATCTCACTCCTCTCGGACGATACGAAAACTCGGTTTGGTTGGCTTCCCTCCGACCCCAGCTCACTCACACCATCCCTTGTTTTTGGTCCCTCCACCATCCTCTGGTCCCTCTACCATCCTCTTCATCCCAACTCCCCTTCCTGCAGGCCCCTCAGCGCGACGACTCCCCTACCTTTGGCAGGGCCCTAGAGGCTGGGAGAAGAGTCCTGGTCCTGGAGATTAGTTTTAGTGATTCCAAAAAAAAAAAAAATAAGTGCTCGGCCAGGGGAGACTGGACCCCCCCTTCCTCCCCCCTGGCGCCGGCCCCTCCCCCGTCCCCTGAGCCCTCCCACATTCCGCGTTCTCCCTCCATTCCTGCCTGGCCAGTTCCCTCCCCTAGGTCTCCCCCCTGTCCCTGGTGGAGCCGGCCGCGGCCGGCAGAGCCACCTCCTCCTCTTCCTCTGACCCTCCAGGCTCCACGAAGCGTTCGTTTCCCGCAGACTGGGGGGGCAGGCAGCAGGGACCAGGTAGCTGGGCTTGCCAGCGACCCCGGGACCGCGGAGTGGTCCGGGTGACAGTGCCCGAGGCGAGGGGAGGCTGCCCCCCCCCCGCCCCAGCCCTTCCTCCACATCCCCTGCTGGAGTACACAGCCCAGGCCAACCCGAGTCCAACGGCAGGGTCTGGAGCCCCCTGGGCGCATTTGGGCTCTCTGGTACCCTCGGGTGCCCGCGGGTGATGTCACCGTAAGCGTTTGACATCACACGCGAGCTCAGGGCCCTGGGGCTGAAACCACGGAAGTTTCTCGGAGTGGAGCCCCCCCATTGCGCTCTCCGGGGTGGGGTGGGGTGGCGTGGGGAGCGCTCCGCTGGGCTTCATCTGGGGACCCCGCGTTCTTCTCCCTCCCCTCCCCCCTGCCCCGCCACCGTCCCCCCCCCCGCCCACCTCCCCGCCGCAGGGGCCCGCGGAGAGGCGGGAACGCCTCCGGCCGAGCAGGCCCCGCCCCGGCCCCGCCCTCCGACCTCGGGGCCAAGCGCGGAAGGAACCTCCGGGGGCCATGGACGGGGCTGTGATGGAAGGGCCGCTCTTTCTGCAGAGTCAGCGCTTCGGGACGAAGGTAGTGGGGACCAGGGGAGGTCGAACTTCATCCGCTGGAAGGAAAGGGCGGGAAGCAGGTGGGAGCGCCCCGGGACGTCCCGTCCAAGTTGCTTTACCCGCCCCCCGGAGAAGCGCGTGGCGTTTCCTGGTATGCCCTCCTGGGTGCTGGGAAGACCCTGGGAAACCTGCGTCGTTGGGAAGCCCCCGACATCAAGTCGGCCTGCCCCCCCACCGTCCCTCCTTCCCCGCGGGGCGCGCGGGGCGCGTGCTGCTCGCGCACTCTGGCGTCTCGCTCTCTCTCCCAGAGGTGGAGGAAGACCTGGGCCGTGCTCTACCCCGCCAGTCCCCACGGCGTAGCGCGGCTCGAGTTCTTTGACCACAAGGGGTCGAGCTCCGGCGGCGGCGGCCGAGGGGGCTCGCGCCGCCTGGACTGCAAGGTGATCCGCCTGGCTGAGTGTGTGAGCGTCGCGCCTGTGGCCATGGAGAGTCCACCTGAGCCCGGCCACACTGCCTTCCGCCTGGACACTGCCCAGCGATCACACCTGCTGGCGGCGGACGCACTGTCCAGCGTGGCCTGGGTGCAGACGTTGTGTCGGAACGCCTTTCCGGTGAGGGCCTGGCGCTGCCCAGGGACTGACTGGGTCCAAATGGGGGTGAGTTGGGCACGCCTGACCCCGGGAGCTGCACTGGGAGGATTAAAGGGGGTTCCTCCGTGATCTCTCTCTATTGCAGAAAGGCGGCTGGGCCGTGGCGCAGGGTGAGAGCCCACCCAAGAACCCACCGAAGCTTTCAGCCTTGGAGATGCTGGAGAACTCTCTCTATAGCCCCGCCTGGGAAGGTAGATGGCAGGGAAGCCTGGGCAGGGACGGAGGGATGCTCTTGGGGAGTGGGAACATGAGAGAGTCTAAGGACGCATCGAGAAGTAGGAAGACCTTGAGATCTGACTTTCAAGTGAGTTCTTCAGTCCACCCTGCCTCCAGAACCCTCTCTCTAGACTCCCCGTCTAATTGTGTATTCCTTTCAGGATCCCAGTTCTGGGTAACTGTGCAGAGGACTGAGGCCTCTGAGCGCTGTGACCTTCACGGTTCCTACATGCTGAGGGTAGAGGCTGAAAAACTGACTCTCCTCACCTTGGGGACTCAGAGTCAGATCCTGGAGCCACTCCTTTCCTGGCCCTACACGCTGTTGCGTCGCTATGGCCGAGACAAGGTTCGGGCCTGTGTGGGAGGATTGTCAGGTTGGGCAGCTGTAGGTGAGGTGGGGCTGATCAGGAAGGTGTGAAGTTCTGCCCTTTAGATTTCCTTTTCTTCCTACATTAAGGCTCTTAGGTGGTCTCTTCTTTGTAGAAGAACTAGTTCTTGAATTGAACTTGTAACTAGCTCAGGACCTGTGGCCTTATCTCTATTGTGCTTCTAGTAGTAATGTGTTTCCCTCCACCTCCTCCTTAGGTCATGTTCTCCTTTGAGGCTGGTCGACGCTGCCCCTCTGGCCCTGGAACCTTCACTTTCCAGACGACACAGGGAAATGACATCTTTCAGGCAGTGGAGTCTGCTATTCAACGGCAGAAGGCTCAAGGAAAGGCAGGACAGGGACATGATGTCCTCAGAGCTGACTCCCATGAAGGAGAGGTGGCCGAAGGGAAGTTGGCTTCCCCTTCTAGTCCCCAGGAGCTGGGCAGCCCCCCAGCCCTCTATGCAGAGCCCTTAGATTCCCTGCGCATTCCTGCAGGCCCTTTGAAGGACTGTGTATACTCAGACCCGGTGGACAGCACACCTGCCCAGGCAGAAGAGGGAGTTCAGTCAAAGAAACCTCTCTATTGGGACTTGTATGAGCATGTGCAGCAGCAGTTGCTGAAGGCCAAGTTGACAGATTGCAAAGAGGACCCCATCTATGATGAACCCGAAGGCTTGGCCCCAGCTCAGCCTCGGGGCCTGTATGATCTACCTCAGGAGCCCAAGGATGCGTGGTGGTGCCAGGCTCGGGTGAAGGAGGAGGGCTATGAACTCCCCTACAACCCAGCTACTGACGATTATGCTGTGCCACCCCCTCGAAGTACAAAGCCCCGCCCAGCTCCCAAGCCTCAGGGCTTGGCCTTTTCTGAACCTGGTACTGTGACTAGCATCAGCAGCAAAAGCCAAAGCCAAGACACTGCCCTGTACAGTAAGGTCCAGAAAAGTGGGGCTTCAGGGGGACGGGACTGTGGGCTTTCTAGAGTAGAGACTGACAGGGCTGAAGTCAAATCAGAGGGCTCCACCTGAAAGGGAGTACATGGGAAGATGGCACTGGGAATCAAAGCAGCTGGTTAGAACCAGCAGGAACAAGAGGGTGGGAGGGACTCATGTGAAACCTGAGGACCAGAGGGGTCAGAGGAAGGACTGTCAGTTCCAGGAAGTCCTAGGAAGTGGAGCAGATGGCCCAGCTGAGGGGTGACCTCAGCCAAGGGTTAGCACCTCTACATTCCCCAAGGAGCACCAGGTCTGTGAAAAGTGGTACTCAGTCAGTGTGGGTGCAGTTTGAGGTGCCTGTTTAGAGGTTGCCTTGATCTTTTTCCCTGCACTGTTCTTTATCAGAGATGTATTTTTTACATTAAAAAAGATTGCATTAAAGTCAGTTTGAGTTTAAGCAGTCTCTGTGAGTGGACAGACCCAGAGGGGACACAGGGCAAGGGTGAGGGGGAGATAAAGAGGACACCTAGGAATATGTTTGGGGCCTTGGGAGGAAAGGGCCTCAGGGAGGGAAGCCTATAGTGTAGGTGCTCAGAGCTTAGTCATTTCAGGCCCACGTGGTCTGGACTCTATGCTGTGAGTTTCACCTGTTGCCTCTTAGTATAAAGTGTGAGAAAACTAATAATGGGCTCCACCTCACAAAATTCTTGGTATGCAAATGATACATTTCTCAAGTGCTTAATGTAATCTGAAGCACAGGGAAAGTGGTTTACAAATGATAGCTATTATTCTGTGCATGAGGAAGCTGACAGGAAAATGGGCCAGGTGTTGGGGAGGGGAATTTTCACAACATCCTTTCTCCTGTATTGGCTCTGTGACAACCCTTGTTCTATATACCCTCTGCCCCTGACATACATACTTTGCATGCAGGTACCAATCACCAAGCACTTGTCCTTTTGGAGCTGAAGGAAATGCCCTTAGTTGGGTGTACCGGGAAGGGCTCTGGAATAATGCCAGGTCCAATAGATTTGCAAACCTCATCCATATTCCTGAGTTGCAGTTTCCAAAAGGTGATCTGATTGGCTGAGTATGCTCCGGATAATGGTGGAGGCTTACTAGGTGTTTACTTTTCATTTGTGTCTACAGTGTCAAATGATCCAAAAGAAAGAGTTGATGCTAGGAAAAGGAAGTAGGGTGGTGGCAGCCCTAGGGCTAGAGGGAGAGAAGTCTCTGTTTCTCCGTTAGCTTGAGCTCACAGAGGCTTAGGTAGATGGAAGACCGGTCAGACCTAAGACAGCCATTTTTAAGCCTTGGCATGGATGTGGGGGAGCAGGGGCGTGGGGAGCAGGGCTGCTGTGCTTTGGCATAAATGACTTAGGGTTGGGAAGAATACTCTTCCTCTGGCTGAGAAGGCAGGAAAGTTTCTGAGGAATCCTTTCTGGCTGCTTGTATCTTCGATGCTCCACATGGGGCTGGGGTCACTGGCAGAGGAACCACTGTTGCTCGAACTCGGTTGGTCTGTGATTGCCCAGCCTGCAAAGAGAGTAACCAGGGTTCGTCTCTGAAGACCAGACAGTTTTGAGCTCTTTTGTTCCCTGTTGGGCTTCTAGTTCTTCAGGCCCTCTAACTCTTTTATGTCCCATCTCTAAAGTGACAGATCCAAGGCCTGGAGCACTGACTGTGGAGTCTCCTGCAACTCTACAGTACTCTCTGCTTGTCCAGTATCTCTCCTCTGTCACTTTCCCATCAACCTGTTCTGTGATGGCTTCTGCTCCCATGCATCTAGTCATTTTTGTCACCTCTAAATTGGTTGAGTTTGGAAACATCCTTCTCCTATAGTTTTAGGTAAGGGACAATGAGTTTTCTGTAAAGACTGTTTCTGAAAAACGAGGAAAAATTGATAAGAGCAAAAGGAAACCCAAATATTATAAAATATGGGTTTCATGAAAACACTTCACCTTCACTTTTTTTTTTGGGGGGGTCCGGTCGTGGGGCCTGAACTCTGGGCCTGGGCGCTGTCCCTCAGCTCTTCAGCTCAAGGCTAGCGCTCTACCACTTGAGCCAAACACTCTACCACTTGAGCCACAGCACCACGTCTAGCTTTCTTTCTTTTGCTTATGTGGTGCTGAGGAATCGAACCCAGGGCCTCAGGCATGCAAGGCAAGCGCTGTACCACTGAGCCACCTTCCCAGCCCTCACCTTCATTTTTTCTTCTGACTTCACTAAGGGCCCAATCTCCAAGCTATTTCCTTGATCAGCTTTCCTTTCCACCTCCATAACTGACTGCAGCCCTACCCTGCAGGGAGGATTAAGGTGAGGCTGTGTGTAAAAGTACTTATCATAAAGCCTGACTAATGACCGGTGTCCTACTAAGGTTCTTTTCTTTCCCTTGGGCAGTTCTTTTCCCATTTTCCCTTCAGCCTTTTCTTCAAGGAGAGGGGTGTGGTTGCAGTGAGAGTTTAGTTAATAGGATAATGGCCTGTTAAATGACTAATGAGTTATCATAAACACTATTATTAAAATACCCAGTGGCTGGAGGCTCAGGTGGTACAGCACCAGCCAATGACAAAAGCAAGTTTCAGATACTGAGTTTGAGTCCTGGTCTCAGACAAAACAAACAAACAACCCCCCCCCAACAAAACAATACCTAAACAAAAATCTAGGTTCAGGCTTCAAAAGCCTATAATCGTAGCATTGGAGAGGCTGAGGCAGAAGAATGGAGTTTGAGGCCAGACTGGACAACATAGTAAGATTCTTGTCTCAACAACAGCAACAACAACAAAGCCGAAAGCCAACTCATTTAAATACTAGCATATGTAAATGCCTAAGCAGACTAGCCTCCTACCCAATAAGGATCATAATATCAGTTGTCTTTTTCTTTTTTCTCCCTGGGTCTGGTTCTTCCTTCCATCTAGGAGAACTTCATAGGAGAGTTGGGCTTCTCCCTTGGGTTAGGCTATGACAATAGGGATGGAGGACTCCTTTGGCCTCTGTATGAAGTGGGGGCATGGGATATAAGGGGTATAGAAGGGAAGACATACCTTTCGTGGAGTCCGGGTCTCCCAGCCTGTGAAAAGCCGCCCCTGAGGCTTGGCAAAAGTACTGCTCAGGTATGAGTACAGGTGACTTTTAACATGCAGGGGATTGTAGGTGGGCTCCAGCTCCAGGCTGTCCAGCGTGCTCTGTGGAAGAAAGGAAGAGCTTCACCCAGGGAACATGAGGGCACCGAGTATACCGTGTCCCACACAGACAATAGAGTATGAGAGGCTGGAGGAGTGTGCAGGCCCAGCTGAGGCTGAGTCTGCAGCGAAGGCTGTGAGCTATAGATGTGTCCCAATGGATGTTCTGCATGCTTGGAAGTGTCAGGCAAGGGTACAGGCGTAGGTGCAACCACAGGTGGCTAGGGATTCCAAATACACATCCTGGAAAGCGTGCTACTTGGTTGCGAGAGGGGTCAGAATGCCTGCAAGGGGTCCAAGAGGTGGGGTCTGGGAAAAGGTGTCCTCAGATTATGTGATAAGGTAAGGTTAGGTTGCTGTAGTCTACAAGGCAAAAGTACCCCAGTACAGAGAGTTCCTGGCCTGAGGTGAGTTGACCGTAGAAGGAGACAAATGGGAGCATAGAATTCCTGAGCAGTCAGGTTTTCCGGCCACAGCATACTGTGCCAGGAACCCCTGGCTCTGAAGTGAGACACTGAGCGAGCCATGGCCACTCGTGCCCACCTCTTTCTACATCCCTGTGGCTGCCAAGCGCAGAGCACAATCCCAGGCTCTGTCCTTTCTGCACATTAGCTGTCAGCCAATGGTCCAGCAGTGATGTGGTTCCAGTTCTCCCTACTCAGAGCCTCCTCTCTCACCTCCAGCCTGAGAGAGCAGCAGAGGGAATACAGAATCCAGATGCAGGGAAGAGAGAGGGAGGTAAGGGGCTGTAAAAGACAGATGTCACAGCTGTTTGTGTCAATGTATCTGAGTCTCATTTGAAGGCCTCCCCCTATACTGGCTATTCTGAGTGCCTACTATTGGCTGCCTGTTTCCCCCCCTGTGGTGCTGGGGGTTGAACGCAGGGTCTTACTTGTCCGTGATGGGCAAGTACTCTGAGCTTTGGCTGCTTTTGACTTCTTTTCTCAACAAATAGAAATAGATGCTCCAAACCACACAACATACACTACCACAGATTACTAAAGAACACAGCATCACACAGACATGGACAAGTGGAGCCACACACTAAGGCAAGGACCTGCTACTGCCAGTCTAGAGATGCAGCACAGCCGTATTCAAGGACGCTGAAATAATACCTAAAGGCATGAAAAGCCATTTACAGGTTCTTATTTCTTGCCTGCCACTGCCTCCTCTGCCTCACCCCTCCCCCTCCCCCTCCTCTTTTTTTTTTTTTTTTTCTGGTTCTGACACTTGGCCCTCGGGCCTAGGCACCATCCAGGCGACGATTTCCTCAAGGCTAGCCACAGCTTAGAAGTGTTTTTAAAATATTAGCAACTTTAACATTAAGAATTCTATTAGCTACAGTTTTTTTTTTTTTTTTTTTTTTTTTTGTTGTGGGTTGTGGGGCCTGAACTCTGGGCCTGGACACTGTCTCTGAGCTCTTCAGCTCAAGGTTAGCACTCTACCACTTGAGCCACAGTACCACTTGCAGCTTTTTCTGCTTATGTGGTGCTGAAGAATCGAACCCAGGGTCTTATGCATGCAAAGCAAGCACTCTACACTGAGTCACCTTCCCAGCCTTTGGACATCTTCTTTAGCTCCCTTCTTTGTATTTTCTTATGCCTTATACCCTTCTTTCCCTTTTTTTTCCTCTAATATACTTCCCTCCTCTTTTCAACCTCACAGTCTGCTCTCCATAGAGAAGTGTGAGTTGGAGGAGGTGTGGGACAGGTAGCCAGTGCAGAGACAAAACTATATCAAACCAAATGAAAACCAAGTGCATCAGTATTGGCACTGGACCTGCCTGTACTAACTTCTTCCCTCACCTCCTTGCCTGCTATCAAGTTTCTCTTCTGGGAACTTTCCCTTCTCCCCTGCCCCACCCCCAGCAGCTAACCATTCATATTCGTTTTAATGATTTCAGATGTGTGGGTTCATCCATTTTATGTGTGGTCTTCCCAGATGGCATTAATCCCAGCTTATACCAATGACGTTTTTCTCTCTCTCAATTCTCTTTTCAAACATCATTTCCCTCAACCTATTGCATTTCTCCACTTCTCACCTTACTGCCATAATCTAAGCATTGACTTCCACTGGCCTTTCTTCTCTGAGCCTCTTACCACACCCCTTGGAGCCATTCTTTCCTCCAAAGGTATTTCTTCATGGACTTATTCCTCTCCTCCATCCCTTTCTTGAACTCCATTTTCTGTTGCACGAAACTTGGGCTTCACTTGCCTCCACAATCTTAAGGCTGTCTTCAGGAGGGGCCTCAGGCAGCAGAGGAAAGACGTTGGGCAGCAGCAGTTCCCGTGTGGCTACTGCTTTCAGCAGCAGCGTGAGGGAGCATGATGGCACAATCACATAGAAGGTGCTGGCAAGAACTCTCTGGCTGTGTCCTGGGCTTAAAGGTTCACCTTTGGCCAGCAACAGCCATTCTCTTTTCTGAAACAAGGACATACATCTTCAGTCTTAGGCACATTTTGAGGACAACCCCAACTGAGGCTTTCCTAAAATTCCTCTAGGAGTGCTGTGGGGATGGAAGAGCCATTTCACTTTGGTCCTGGGAGGGAGGCTTTACTGATTCACTAAGACCAAGGTCCTACTCTTCTTCCATGGTCCATAATAAGCCAGAAGAGTACATCACAAGGCTCACAAAGGAGACATGAGCTATGAAATGCTCATGTTGTACATCCCAAATAGACTATCCTAGGATTTTTTTTTCTTTTTCAGTACTAGAAATCACATTCAGAACCTTGCACACACTAAAGTACTCTACCACTAAGTTACATCTTCTAGCCAAGACTTACAGTTGTTGTGAACTCGAGGCTTGGACACTGATTTAGCTTTTTCTTTTCTTTTTCTTTCTTTTTTTTTTTTTTGTCGGTCATGGGACTTGAACTCTGGGCTTGGGTGCTATCCCTGCGCTCTTCAGCTCAAGGCGAGCGCTCTACCGCTTGAGCCACAGCACCACTTCCGGTTTTCTAGTGGTTTATTGGAGATGAAAGTCTCACAGACTTTCCTTCCCAGGCTGGCTTTGAACCGTGATCCTCAGATCTCAGACTCCTGAGTAGCTAGTATTACAGGCGTGAGCCACCGGCACCGGGCCCCTAGCTTTTTCTTTTAAGGCTAGTGTTCTACCACTTGAACTGCAGCTCTACTTCTGGCTTTTTACTGGTTAATTGGAGATAAGAGTCTCATAGACTTTTCTGCCTGGGCTGGCTTCAAACAGTGATCTTAGATTTCAGCCTCCTTGCATAGCTAGACCTGAGCCACTGGCACCTGGTAAGACTTAAAATTCTTAAAATCAGTCTTGAATTAGAATTGTAGAGGGTAGTATAGAAACTCAGCTTTTATTTTGAGGCTGAGTAAGTCTGCTATTGACAGAGGTTAAAATAGGCACAATGGGGTATAACCTTGGAATGCCCAGAAAGTGTTTAATGTGTCTTAATACAGCCTCCATAGTATGGAAAGGAAGCTGTGTTATTACAAGGCAGTTAGTAGGGCAGGGCTCTTGGGATCAACTCAGTGAGTCACAGGACAAAGTGAAAGGTCAGGATTCTGGAGCAGTGACTCTGTAAGCAGAGAGGGTTAGTACTTTGCCACATACCTTGGAGATGACAGAAATTAGCACACAGGCAGATTTATAAGCAGATTTTTCAGGTGTACCCTTTCACTTAGGACATAGTAAGGAGGCATTTTTTTTGGTTGTTTTCCAAGGGAAACCATAAAACTCCAGGAAAGATGGAGCCAGAACAATTATAATCTAAACTGCTTCCTCTTGTTGGGGGTGGTGGTCAAAAAACTGTTTCCTCTTGTTGGGGGTGGTGGTCAAAAATGTATCACTCAAACACCATAGTCTCCTTGCTGTATCAAATGAATGAAATAACCTAGTTCTACATACTTCTGAAGGAAAAATTGGAAAAAGTAATATTAGAGGAAAGGCATAAGGGGGATAAAAAGACATTAAGGGAAATTTAAGGGACATTAAGAAAAGTATCAGTGTTTTGTGGAGGACAATTGAAAAGTAAAACAGGAAAATAGCAAAATCTGCTGTGGCATCAGAATTATATCCAGAGGGACCCTGCCCTGTACTAATGTAAAATTAAGAAAATTAGTTAAACATTAAATAAAAGAGAATTATCCCCAGAGGAATGTTCTTTATTTTAAGGAATAAACTTATACCCTTATACACTGTGGTGTTATCAAGAATCTTTTCAGCATTATATCTTGAAGTAGACCATAGTACTCTAAGATTAGTAAGAGACAGTAATAAAGCCCCTGTTGGATAGCTGGCATATAAAAATGACTGTACTGTGTTAAAAGTCACAACTGATGTGAGGACAGTCAGGGGACTGGAAAGAAAATGTGTTGCTGAAAGGATTTTGCAGAATGCTTTAAAACTTCTGGGCTGACTTACAGAGAGATAGGATCAAAAGGCTTGGAAAGAAGAAGACAAATGCCTCTTTATTAACTGATGATATTAATTTAGCTTCAGTTCCCTGAAGCATTCAAAGAAAGTGGGAAGTAGAATTTCTATCCTCTTCCTTGATGGTGGTTAATGGCACCAAATACTTGAGGTTGAGGCCCAAGCTTGAAGATACCATCCAAGTTATAGGTTGGGCTGCCAGGATAGCCAGTTGGACTTACGATGGACATGTTCACTGTTATAGCAAGTATATGAGGCTAAAAATCAACAACAGTACTTCAGGATGTCCCAAGATCAGTCTTTGGGGTCTTCAGAATGAAAAATGCTTAGTGACTATAGATGACTTCTGAGTTCTTTAGAGAAAGTCATAGGGCTTGAACTCTAGGCCTGGGTGTTGTCCCTGGGCTTATTTTGCTCAAGGCTACCACTTGAGCCACAGTGCCATTTCTAGCTTTTTCTGTTTATGTGGTACTGAGGAATTGAACCCAGGGCTTCATGTATGGTAGGAAAGCACTCTACCACTAAGCCACATTCCCAGCTCTGTTGTTAATTCTTTTTTATTTTTGTTGGTTGTGGGGCCTGAATGCTGCCTCTCAGCTCTTCAGCTCAAGGCTAGTGCCCTACCACCTGAGCCACAGCTCCACTTCTGGTGGTTTATTGGAGATAAGAATCTCATGGAGGGGCTGGGAAGGTAGCTCAGCGGTAGAGTGCATGCCTTGCAAGCATGAGGCCGTGGGTTTGATTCCTCAGCACCACATAAACAGAAAAAGCCGGAAGTGGTGCTGTGGCTCCAGTGGTAGAGCGCTAGCCTTGAGCTGAAGAGCTAAGGGACAGTGCCCAGGCCCAGAGTTCAGGCCCCTTGACCAGCAAAAAAAAAAAAAAAAAAAAAAGAGGGCTGGGAAGGTGGCTCAGTGGTAGAGCGCTTGCCTTGCATGCTCAAGACCCTGGGTTCGATTCCTCAGCACCACATAAGCAAACAGAAAAAAGCCGGAAGTGGCGCTGTGGCTCAAGTGGTAGAGCGCTAGCCTTGAGCTGAAGAGCTGAGGGACAGCGCCCAGGCCCAGAGTTCAGGCCCCACGACCGGACCCCAAAAAAAAAAAAAAAAGAATCTCATGGACTTTCCTGCCTGGGGGGGCTTTGAACTGTGATCCTCAGATCTCAGCCTCTTGAGTAGCTAGCATTACAGGAGTGAGCCTCTGGCACCTGGCCTGTTGTTAATTCTTAAGAAAGGAACAGGAGTTATCACAAGGCAAGATGATGTCTATGTTTGTGTTTGTCTATGTTTGGTTAGGGAAGGTGCCAGGCAAGAAAGCTTAGACTTTTATTAAGTGGAATTCACTTTTTTTTTTCTTTTGTGCTGGTTCTGGGGCTTGAACTCAGGGTGTATCACTGAGCTTTTTTGCTCAAGGCTAACATCCTACCACTTGAACCACAGCTCCACTTCTGGCTTTTTGGTGCTTAATTGGACATGAGTCTTATGGACTTTCCTACCTGGCTGATCTCATCCTCCTGAACAGCTAGGGTTACAGGCATGAGTGATTGGTGCCTGCTAGAACTCACTTTCTTTAGAGTAGGTGTGGATAGGCAGAGTGGCATGCCATACTCTAAGCTCAGACCTCCTAGAGTCTCCTTCCCCCACTCTGGCATAAACTTCTAGTTATTAAAGCTGTGAAGCAAGGTGTGGCACTCATTCATGTTTGGCTGGCTACCACTCTGGCTTCTCACTCCTTTCTGTCTACCCAGTCTCTAGTCTTCAGTCATTGATTTCAGGATGGTCATGTGGCCTAGATTTAAATAAAGAGATAGAAGCAGAAGTGACTGGATGACTCTTCTAGAAAAGCTTTGTAATACAAAGCTGTACCCTGTACCTTCTCTTCTCTCTTCTTTCTTTCTAGGATACGATTTGGTCCTAAGGAATAGCATTTATCTTGTGACCATGAAATACAAGATGATGTCCACTTGTTCTGGAACACAAAAGTGGAAAGAGCCTAGTTCTTTTTTTTTTTTGGATCCGGTCATGGGGCCTGAACTCTGGGCCTGGGCGCTATCCCTCAGCTCTTCAGCTCAAGGCTAGCGCTCTACTACTTGAGCCACAGCGCCACTTCCGGCTTTTTTCTTTTTGCTTATATGGTGCTGAGGAATCGAACCCATGGCCTCAGGCATGCAAGGCATACACTCTACCACTGAGCCACCTTCCCAGCCCAAGAGCCTAAGTTCTTGATGGTTTTGTTGATCAACTACATCAGCTCTGAAATTGTCTCTCCTTAGACTTCTTGTTATATGAGAACACTTTTTTTTTTTTTTTTTTGGTTGTGGAGCTTGAACTCAAGGCCTGGGCACTGACCCTGAGCTCTTGCTCAAGGTTAGCACTCTGCCATTTTGAGCCACAGCTCCATCCACTTCTGGTTTTTGAGTAGTTGATTGGAGATAAGAATCTCACAGGATTCTGCCTGGTATGGCTTTGAACCACAACCTTCAGATCTCAGCCTCCTGAGTAGCTAGGAGTATAGGGTTGAGCCACCAGCGCCCAGCTTGAGAACAACTCTTATTAATTATTAAATTTACAGTTGAACTGGTTTTCTTTTAGTTCCAGCCTCATTGATTCATTGCAGATACCAAAAAATAGGAAAAGAATGTGATTACTCATTCCTGGTTAATGGCTGAGACAGGCATAAAATGCTGAAAGGACAGGCGAGAGTTTATTATATATAGCAAGTGGATGCTTTCATCTCATAAACCAGTACTCCATTGTTTGGGATTAAATGTAGCATGTAACTGAAGAAATATGAATCAGTTCCTGCATAGGGATGTTTTAGAAGCAGCCACTGAGCACAGGCAGAATAAAGAGCACAGGCAGAATAAAGAGCTTGTGGGAAAGATACAATTTGTTAGTATAGTGAACCCAAAAAGTGAAATATAGCTAACCAAGGAAGAACTGAATCTAATTTCAGGCCTTTGGATTATGTTTTTTTTTTTTGTGGGGGGCCAGGAGGGGGTGATGCTAGAATTTGAAACT